CAGTGCAGCACGTGCCGTGTCTACGGCACTTTCCACTCAGAAACGGAGAACAATGGTCACTGACCGTTTCTCACGCTCATCCGACAAGCTGACCAGGCGTGTTTTATCGAGCTGCACAACACAATTTCTGGAAATTTTAGCGTTTAGAAACTGTGTGCTAGCGATGTTGTGTGGTTTTGTTCCTGATTTCCGTGAGGTGGCACGCGCGCAGGAAACCGCAACCCTTTACTAGCTCATTAACGAACCTGACCAGGAAGCGGGAGAGAGTGGAGAATCCGTAAATATTATAAGTACTCGTAAATTATTAGTATGTTTTACAGAAAGTACATTTTTATCACAGTCTGTACAAAATCTGTAAACCCGGCGCTACATTGACAGATACGGTGGGATCAGCAGGCAGCAAGTGCAAGGATTGGGCCAGGGCATTATCGAGGTCGTGGACATGCTGATGCCGAATGAGCACAGTGAGACATGCGGGACACCGCTGCGCGAGATCGTCCTGGAGCCCCATTAGCGCTTCCCGGTGCGCGAGGTCAACAGTCAGCCGATGGTCAGCGACGCCGTCCACAAACTGCGGCTACCGTGTGTGGTCTCGCGTCCGCATCAGGCTGCACTAGACGAATCGGAACTGGTCACGGAGTCGGCGACGGGATGGACCGGGATCCCGGTGCACAGAAGAAGACGGTTGGGGGCCGGGAAATGTCGCGTGTGCTGCTATCCGGGAGCGGCGGGGGCAGCCTGATGATGGGCCGCAGTGGGATTTCCTTGCCGACGGCGGTTCAGCGTCCCGCCATGGCCCATTCAGGGGCCGCCACGGCGTGGGGTTGGTACCGCCGGCAGCACGTCCTCTTGAAACGGCGGGTGAAGCAAGTGGAGGCAGCGGGCCACACGATCAAGCGCCCTTTTACGAGCTCTTCCTCTACTTGCTCCTCATCAACATCGCCCCGCTTTTCCGGGTACGCCCGCAGCCGGAGTTGAAGAACAAAGAGGGCTTCATGACGCCCGACAACACCATCGAGGTCCTCAACAAAAAGGACCTGCGCCAAGTTCTTCTCATTGCGGAACTGAAGCGTCCCGGCTTCAGCGAGTCGATGCTGGTGCAGCAGTGGGAAAAGCAGGCCAATAAAGCCCTGCAGGCTGGACTGTGCGGCGAGGGGCAGGGGATAAAAGGTGGCAGTGGCACCTGCCACTGGCAACTGCCACTGGCAGTGGCAGGTCACTGGCAAGCGATGAAACATGGCAGTTGCCACAAACACGAAATTCCAAATAAACTGATTGGGGACACCGATTTAGCCATTAACTTAAACTGTGTCGTCTCATGGTCAGAAAAGGTTCAAAAATTGCTTGGCTATATTGCCGAACCCAAGCCGTGTATAACCGACCAGTAGACTTCGCGCGGAATAAATCACGGATTATTAATGAATGAAAACAATTCAAAGTCATTGGTAACTGCAATTTACAAATACAGGGAGGTTATAATCTTGATGAACGGACCGCAGAGCAATAATAATTTAATTTTGGCAAATACTTTAGTGACTAATTAGTAATTTGTGATCTTTTTGAATTTTTACGTTAAACACTGTAGTGCTTGTGGCTTATCGTGCTTCTGACAGCTCGAATTATTACTGTGGTGCCAAGAGAATTCCGCAATTTTTCGTTCAGCATGCTAGACAAGCGCTGTATGGACGGCTTTAGCGTTCAGTGAGTTCACTGTCTACAGGCTTATGAACTGGCTGAACGCGCAATTTGAAATAATTCATGTTTAGTAGTATATGCGGGTACGACAAAGCAATTCGTACCAGCAGTTAAATAATACGTAATACAAATAGCATGTTTTGTAACCATAAATAGTAAAAATTTATTTTGGATCAGATTCACGTCAGTAAATCTTGATAGAGAACCGTTTTGAAGCAGGAACGATTTTTCAAGAGTGAGCAGCGCTCCGTTACGCTCGGCCCTTTGCAACTGGCAGCCTGACGCTGTTCAGTGCGCTCAGCGAACGCTGAACCCCGTATACAGCTCTAGTATATCAGGCTTTACGAAATGGTGCGGAATTTACTTGGCACCACAGTATAAGTTGCTGTCCATAACTGTGGTGCCGGTTTTAAGTGTCATCGCTTTAAAACTTAAAAAGGGTTAACTGTCGGACGTTTGACATTAGGTAGAATTGTTATCAAAACCTATTTTTTGTTACGAATCGTAAATTCTGAATGCCACCAATCGAGCTAAAAAATTTAACTGTTACGTAAAAGCCGGTTATACCTCGGTTTCTCCTCAGAACGTTACAAGCTAAAAACTGAAAGGCTTGACAAAACCTCCACCTAATTCGAAAAACAGAAAATTAAAGACTGAATACATAGTAGCAGTACCATAATCACTTCCAATCTCATTGCCCCACCGGTACCAGCACTACTCAGTTTACCACTACAGGCACGGTGTACCAGTACTATTACCAACACCATCACTAGGATAACCCTTTCTTAGTTTTGTCAAATTTCTTGGTCTCAACTTTTCGTATTACTTTTCGTAAAAAGTACGCATAAATAGTTTTCGCAAATGCCACGTTTTATCGTTTTCGAGAAGCATAATGGCAGATGCCACTGCCAGTGGCAACTGCCAGTGGCAGGTGCCACTGCCACCTTTTATCCCCTGCCGCGGCGAGGCCGTGTATGGTCTGATCGCTCGCGGTAGTTTGGCGCAGCTGTTTTTGTTTGATGCCGCCAGCCGGAAGTGGACCCCGGTTACCGATTGAATCAATATGCTGAAGCCGCCTTTTCGCACCGAATTCCGTCGCGGAATTGAGAAAGTTTCGGGTGTAAAGATCGATGCACCGCTGTATTTAGACTCATCTGTCCTCCTTTGAACTCCAGCACATGTCCTCCGTTAACCGGCTCGAGTCAGTGCTGGCATTGTCCTGAATTGTTCGCCTTTCATAACGCAAGTGGATATACGGTATAACAGCAGCGTTCACGTGTGTTGTCATTAGTCATTAGTAGTTCTGTATTTCGGTTATTGTTCATTTTGTGTTCTCGCATGAATCACCATCGTTCTCACCTGTTATAAATCACCATCAGCATTGCACCAGTTTTTTTTGTAGTTCGATTTGTGTTTATCTATAAGTAATTAATAAGAAATTATATGATGATCCTTTTTGCGTGATAAATACGCAATTTTCATTAGCTATTTTTTGGTGAGTTGAATAAAAACTTTCAGATACGAAACCGTTCGGTAGTCGGCATGTGTGGAGCGTTTAATCTTCACACCAACAACCGGTGAGAGTCTACTGATAAGGGCATCTCATTAACAGCAAATTGTACAGTTACATAAACAATTTTCTTTATAATTTTAAAAGATACAGTTCCATAAATTATTATTATTACTATTAAAATTACTATTATTATCAGCGTCTTCATATACACCCGCGTACAAAATTCGACATTCAAATACAAACTACTTTCTACATACTACTACTGATACTAGTACATCCACTCTGTATAAAGTACCGGTCAAACTAACCAGTATTAAAGCCAGATTAATTAAGAAATTCGTTTATCGCCATCGTGACCAGCGGTTATGATGGTGATGACGCCGAATATTGCCGGCGTAGTAGGCGTTGTTGTTGAAGCCGTTGTTGTAGTCGTAGGTGGTGCCAATGCTGGGCGTGCCGACGATGAGGGCGTTGGGGTCCAGGCTGCCCAGGGTGCTGTAACTGCATCCCGCCAGCGGGTACGTCGAGCTCTGGCCGTTGCAGTAGTACGTGTAGCTCACGGCGTGTCCCACCAATATCGACACTGTACCAATGCGCATTTTATTACTATACGCAGGCAATATTTAAATTAATTTCCGTTTGCTGTACGAGTACAATTATAATTTTCTAATTTTTTAATCGATGTTTCTATTTATTTTCTTATTTCTGTATTATTTAATGTTTAATGTAATTTCATAGAAGTACTGATTTATCAAAAACATTACTTTATCTTTATTTAAAACTATCATTTACTAACGTTTTCTATTTTTGAATTATTTCTTATTCCACTAGAACACTGAATTTATTTCATATACGAGTAATTATCTACATATTTTTTATATACTGTTTTTACTGTATTGATATTTATGGTTATTTTGTAATTTGACTATATTAATATCTTGCTTACGAATTCCAGTGTGAAGACACGATTTCCACAATCCGACCGGGAACATGATGAATACGGAAGGCGCAAAATTGATGCACAAATGATTAATGGATAATTTATTTACAGAATAATTCAGTAGACGTTAGCTATGGCTTGCACTAACTGGCGATAGCGGGTTTCCGGTCGAAATCTCAAGGAAATTAGATTTTACTCTCACATTAACAGTCGCTCATGTTTGTGTACCCAATGCATATTTTTTTTCGTATAATGCGTTGCATTTATGTATGCATTTACAGAAAGCATTTAACAGTGCATTCTTCGGCTCAGTTTCAGCAGCATTCCGGCACGCTTTTCGCCATATGCTGCCCGAGTGTTTATTTGTATTGCCCGGTGAGTGTTGTTATGGTTTCCCGAAATATGCGCACAAGGCATTGTCACGCGCATTATTCTGAGCGGAGGTCAGCCTTTTATAAGGTGGCGTCGCCGTGTTGCCGCATAAACAAAACACTCGGGAAAATAGCTTACTTGTGGTGTAAATCCACAATTATCAGAAAAACCGCGTTGTTACCGGACGCCGGCTCATGGAAAACACAGGTTATTAACCGGGAAAAAATTGCCATGCTTTCTTGGATGAAATACAGTGATAGTCACCAGCATGTGACACAGCAATTTTTGGTATTTTTCTGCGCAGAATTAACTACTATATACAGCAAATACGTTAAAATTTACTATCCAAGTAAAATACATTTCAAATTAATTAATTATGTTTCAGATCAATAAAAAATAGAAAGGAAGCAATTTTTATTAAAATATTTAAGCCATAATTAAAAGTCGAGAGGAAACTGCTCAATTTTTTTGACTAATAAATCAGAGGCGCGGTATAAAACATAGTCGGTGCGGCTGCGTGTCGGCCGTGATGCCGGACGTCGGCGTCAGATCGATGTCGGCGGATGCCACGCCCTCCGGCAACCGGATGTCGAAGCGCTGCACGATGCCGCAGAATAAAATGAACAATTCGGCGCGGGCCAACGCTTCACCCAGGCACCGTCGTTTTCCTAAAATAAATAAACAAAATAATATAAAATACACTTATCAAAATTAGAATTCATTAAAATTTATTGTAGGAATTTATAAGAAGTATTTAAAAGGAATATTAAAAGAGCAAAAATAAATCTAAAGAAATCGCGGAAAAATTTCCCATCGGTAGACTATCGTGAGAAAAACCCGCTTACCTAGTCCAAAGGGCATCAGATACTCCGACGTCTGCCCTTGGCCGACTATTAAGAAACGCTCCGGGCGGAACCGCTCCGGCTCCTCCCACCAGGCGTCAATATGGTGGACGAAGTAGATATTGACTTGGACAATCGATCCTGCCATTAGAAACAGATATAAAAAATAATAATAATAAAATAAAATGAATAAATCTAAAAGTCATAAAGGTCACGGTTTGGGATACCTTTCGGGACGTCGTATCCCTCGATCTGGATGTCCTCGCGGGCGCAGTGGTCCACGCCCATCGGGACGACGCTGGCGTAGAGGTGCACCTCCATGAGGGTGGCCTCGGCGTAGGGCGTGGCCAGTTTCTCGGAGGGCGTGGCGAATTCCCCGTTGGCGGCGTTAACGTGTCGGTCCAGTTCGGACTGGACGCGCCGCTGGATGTCCGGATGCAGCGCCATCATTAACAACGCCTGCGATGCATAAAGTCATAAAGGTCAGGAGCTGCTTATTTTAATTAGTTTTTCCCCGTTACCGAGCGCAGCGTCGTGGTCGAGTCCGGCTTCGAAGAGGTCTTCCAACAGCAGCGGAATTTCAGTCGCTACAAAATTCACAATCATCTCTAGATCTGTAGATTTATTTCTAACTATGTATTTTGTACTTGTATATTTAATTTAATTATTACCGAATTACCTGAACTGATGGAAAATTGTTCCCTAACGGTAATTGCCGTTCTAATTTTTGATTAAATTTTTAATGGCAGTAATTATATTATTTTGTTTCAGGCAAGTGTTAAATTTTTCGATAAAAAACTAATTTGCCTCGCTAAAAAAAGTCCAAGTTAATCTTCGTAATTTCTTCATAATTTTATAACTAAATTCGATTCAAACTTTAAACCATATAAATCTGTAAAGTTCTCAATTAAAATTGAGTAATTATTTTTCGTAATTAAAATTTTAATGGCCTTAATTAAAGCAATTATCTTGATGTTTATTTGCTGCTTAAAGTGGAATATAGTCAGCTTTTTATTGCTGCTCCCGAATGGGCGGCACATACCGCATCACCGGCAGCACCGCCAGGATGACCTTTTTCATAGTAAACTCGAAATTCTCCTTGGTGTACTGCAGGAATAAGCGCAGTTGGGGGTCGTCCATCCCGTATCGGGCGCCGGCGATGACGCTGGCCACGCTGATGCTCAGCGGCACCTTCGTCTCCAACGGCCGGCCCTCCTGCGCTTTCAGAAAGGTCACCAACGCGCCGGCCTCCGCCACGATCTTCTCCTCCATCCGGAACTTCCCCTATGTCGCACGAAATCCGCCATGGACAGCTCATACCAGCACACCTGCGCGTTCAACAGCTCCCCGGCGTCCAACGGATATATCCAACTGGGTGGTGCGTCCCCGGCACACGTACTCGTAATCGCGGGTGTAGGTACTCATCTAGCGCGCCACGTCCGGAAGCGACGGCCCCAGAGAGAGATCCCGGCTGCGCTAGAAAGATTACGGCGCGGCATAGGAGGTGCCCGAGGGGATTGAGGGGGCCGGTGGGACGGTGGGCGGGGTCCAGGTGCCGTCTCAACAGGGCGCGGTACTTCTCGTCCAGGGGCTTCCCGGGGTCCGCAATTCACCCCGACGTCCCAGATCATCTCCGAGTCCGGAGCGGGGATGTCCTCGCCGTAGTTGAGCAGGAACTCCCCGCTGTTTTCCACATGACGCGGATCTAAAAATCATTTATTTTACTGTAAAATCAAATCAAATAAATTGGCCAAATTAACTGATGACGAACCTTAAGTTAACAAGCACCTGGGAGGGTCTCCGGCACGTTTAGGGGAATAGAGCCATCCTGTTGGAACCACACACTATGCAGCATATTGGCCGCACTAATGCGTTCCTTCGGATTCATCCTGAAACACCGGCTCAACAGATGCCGCGCGGCATCGGGCGCCTGATACGGGATCTCGGGCGTCGCGCCCTGCACCACATACTGCATCAGCACCGGCAGACCCACCCCCTCCCCCACCGTCAGCGCGTCCACCAAGACGTCCTTCCCTTCCACCAATTTTTCAAACCGCACCGGCTCCCCGTGGCGGAACATGTCGACGAGAATGCAGCCGACGCTCCACATGTCGCTCTTCCGGCCGACGGGATGACCTTTCCGCCCGCCGACCAGGACCTCCGGCGGCATGTAGCGGAAGTTCCCGCGGGTCTGGAGGTCCTGCGCCGACGTCGTGGAGGTCAGCAGGGCGAGGTGGTCGTCCAGGTCGGTGAGTTTAGCGCGCCGGTGGAAGGGGGCGCTGGTGTCGTGGGCCAGAACAATGTTGGCCGGCTTCAGGTCGCCGTGGATGATCTTGTGGGCGTGGATGGCCACCACGCCGGTCAGGATCTGCTGGAGGAGGTCCTTAATCTCTTCGATGGGCAGCGGTGCGCTACGGATTAACGTGTCCAGCGTCCCAACTACAGAACATGGCAAAGGTCATCAGCATTTCAAAGCAGATCGAACTGACAGTAGTATTCAAATTAACCAGGGCCCCGCCCCTGCCTGAAAATTCCGAAAAATTTCAGATAGATAGAGGAAGATAGAGGAACATTGGACTAGGAATAAGAAATTATTCTCATCTGCCATGGCCGATGGGCGTGGCCAGAACAAAATTTAAGCGGAGATTTTTCACTTTGTTTAAGTATTATTTTAATATCGCTTTTTAAACTTCTTGTGGTGCATACGATCATAGTATTTTTAAACCCCTGTTCAACTTATTGAATTACGATTACAGTTTTTTTGTTTAAATCGCTTGCATTTCAATAAAAACTCCAGTTTCTGTTTATAAACCGTAATTAAAAGTTTGTGAAGAAAAATTCATAAGCTCCTGGTTAAAAATTGTTGTTTCTGAAGCGAAACGGCCAAAACATTCGGTACGGCCAAACCATCATGGTGCTGGAGAATATTCTGGAGAATCGGATCGGGAGACCGTACGCATCCGACTCACTCACTTATTTCTGGCACGGTGCCATTGATTTCGGCTGTTTTCCTCGCATGAAATAACTGGCTGCCCAGCAGTGTTATTTCCGCTGTAAGAAACAATGTCAAAGGTCAAGCAAACTGACAAAATAACGATCAGGAGAATCTATATCCGGCAGATCCCGTTAAATAAGACAATACGCAATTTCTGGATAAAATACCCAATTCAACATATGATTTTATGTTTTATCGTTTTGTATAATACATAATTTTTTGTCTAATGAAATCGAATAATTATTATCCAGGTTTTTGCTAATAGCATTTCAAGTACTGTATGCGAAAATTATTGCGAAGTTTTTTTATAAAAATGCAGGCTTCTAAAATGGCTAACAAAGTACGTTTCATTACCACCGATAAGCTAAACTAAATGGGTAAAGGGCAGCACGTGCACCATTGAAAGAACGTAGCCCGATATAAGGCACTAAATTCTTGTACGAATATGTACGAGTACATATACAAACACTGAATTTTTTAATTTTTTAAAATTCTATTTGAAAACTGAAAAGAACAGTAATTCTTGCTCAATGGAAGAAAGATTTTCATATTCATGTGTGTAATTGTGGAAAATTTGAATAGGAGCGGTTCGAAATGAGGCTTTTGGTATATCTGAACTTCATTAGACTTTTTGGAATATTTTTGCCACTATAATAATACGCAATATCGCGCGTAGAAATACCAATCATCTGACTACAGAATGTCATAAAGCAATGCAAAAAAGTGTTTACGAGGGTGCGAAGGTTTTCGTGCATGTACACGAATCTGGTGCCATATATCAGGGTCTATAAAGGTACCTATAACTTAACTAAAATTAAGCTGTAATTAACAAAAAAATATATAGCTTGTTTTGTTTAATGCAGTATCCCCGGGCCAGGACCCCGGCAACGCCTCGCCGAAGATGGAACTGTACGGGAACGGCAGCCTGGCGTCCAGTCCGTCCGATCCGCTGTGCAACGGCTTCCACTACAGCGTCGACAGCGAGTACGCCAGTCCGCTGAACGGTCTACGCGGGGCGTCAGCCCCATCGACGGCCACTGCGGTCCGGACCAGTGCGCCCCGGCCGACAACATCTGGTCCATACAGCCCGGCACGCCCGTCAAGATCCGCATGGGCAGCCACCCGCACACCGACGGCGTCCAGCCCGAGTCCGTGCCGACCTGGTTCAGCCGTATCGAGCCACCAACAACGCCTCGCGACCGGTATGGACATATTCCGCTGAACGCTGGGTCACAGCGTTATAACGTGGGGATGTTTATAGGCACTAAAGGTCAAGCGTGACGGGGCGTGGAAAACCTGGAAGTACCTGCAGTATCACAACGACGTGGTGGCCGCGGCCAAAGCCTTCATCCATCGCGGACTGGAGCCTTTCCACGCTGTCGGGATAATCGGGTTTAACGCGCCGGAATGGTTCATTTCCGATATATGGCCGCCATTTATGCCGGGTACAGAAAAAAACTTATTTCATATATAAATATTAAAGTGCACCGAATACAAAAATTCTTTTATCGTGTAATTCTTTATTCTGTGTTATTGTACACTATAAAGCTAATCTGATCAAACTTTTTGTTGTTTATATAAAAACTGATATGACTACACATATATAAAATTAATTAACAAATTAACACATTTACAGAAATTGTTATTTTTAGATAAGCTTAAATATTTTTTATGCAGCGTGATTCGATGTCTTTCTGATTAGCTGCATGCTATAATATTGGGAAATTAAATAAAATGATTACGCTTGATTTTATACAGCGGCTTGGCGGTGGGAATATATACGACCAACTCCGCGGAAACCTGTCTATGGAACGCCTCGGACTCGCGCGCCAACATCATCGTGTGCGACGACAACAAGCAGGTGCAGAAGATCATGAAGATCCACCACGAACTGCCGCACCTCAAAGTTATCGTCCAGTACCTGGGCACGCCGGCGCACGGGCCCGAGGAGAGCGTCTACAGCTGGGCGGAGCTGCCGGGCCTGGCCAAGTACGTGCCGGACGTGGCCATCCAGGAGCGGCACGCCGCCATCGCTCCCAACAAGTGCTGCACGGTCATCTACACCTCCGGCACCACCGGCAACCCCAAGGGCGCCATGCTCAGCAACGACAACCTGCTGTGGACCTCGCGCATGGCCATGACGGAAGCCTTCACCACGCTGAAGAGCCGGCGCGACATCCAGGAGACCTTCGTCAGCTATCTGCCGCTCAGTCACGTGGCGGCGCAGATGACCGACCTCTACCTGTCCATCAACACCGCCGGCGTGGTCTGGTTCGCCCAGCCGGACGCGCTGAAGGGCACCCTGGTCGACACGCTGCGGGAGGCGCGGCCCACGGCGTTGGTGGGCGTGCCGCGGGTCTTCGAGAAGATGGCCGAGAAGATGCAGGCGGTCAGCAAGAAGAACGGCGCCGTCAAGACCTGGATCGGCTCCGTGGCGCAGGATGTCGAACTGCGCGGCAATCTCAAGCGATTTAACGGGTAAATTGTAATGACCTTTGGCGACATAAATATATATTAATGCGGCATATTGGTTCACATATAAAAAAATAATAAAAGACATATATGCATGTGCAAAAATACGCCAAATAATTAGGCTTACACGTACATAAAATATTTTATATAAAACTGTCTGTACATTATCTTGATGACCTTCCTTAGGATAGCGAAGGCTTCCTTTTCATTACCGGTCGCCTCAAGGAGCTGCTCATTACCGCGAAAATGTCCCGCCCATTCCCATAGAAGTACGTGTGCACTTGATCAGCGATATCATAACTCTTACACTCGTAGATAGATTAATATGGCGATACTTAAATAAATACATGCAGATAAATAAATGTATAACATGTTTCCTTCATAAATATACAGTAATTGCAAATTTGTAGTTTTCAAAGGATATCATATGAAACTCGGTAATATGTATAAATTAAATTAAATATCGTACTTATTAGGTAAATGTGTGTTTAATGTATATGCTTTAATCCAATAGGACGCGATTAAGGAAGAATTGCCGCTTGTCAGTAACGCCATGGTTATCGGCGACAAGCGGAAATTCCTCGCTGTTTTACTAACACTGAAATCGGAGATTGACCTGACGACGGGTGCTCCGCTGGACAGACTGACGAAGCCCGCACAAGAATGGTAACAACATTGTGATGAACAGGCCGTTTTCGTATTAGTCAATAAATCCCTTGATTTTTTCGATTTTATTCAATATTTTTGTTTTAATCTGAATAGTGTAAGTATATGTTTTACTATTTGCACGTATTCCCGCCGTCGTTACAGATTACAGTTAAACTTTTCGCCCATTTTAATTCGCCTTATCTCGGCAACCGGATGTTGCACGCGCAAACGGTTTTCGGAACAATGTATACAAATTATTTAGCTTTAGAATGACATAATGTATTGCGAACAAGTGATTTGTAATGCGCGAAAGCGAAAGTTTTAGTGTGTGAATCCCATTTGTCATCGCATGTACCGGGCATTTTCCTTAAAGTCTGTTTCTACAGGATTAAGGAGAACGTCGCGGCCAGGACGTGAGCACGGTAACGGAGGTCGTCGGGCTGACCAGTCTGCAGAAGGTGATTGAGAAGCGCCTGGCGCTGGTCAACAAGCGCGCCACCAGCCGCGCCCAGTGCGTGCAGAAATTCAAGCTCCTCCCCGAGGACTTCAGCATCCCCGGCGGCGAACTGGGTCCCACGCTGAAGCTAAAGCGCAACGTCGTCGCCGCCCAGTACCGCGCCCTCATCGAGCAGTTCTACGACGACACCGATTCCTGAGTCAGGCCACGCCCATCTCTGCCGTCAATGGTCGTCGTCGCACGCTGCTGTCTTTTTCTCTCTAATATTCATGTGTGCTGAGAGATAGCATGGCCTTTCAGAAAGCGTTTTTCCTCACTGTAGTATAATCTTTCGCCATTTTGAGGATTCTCATTTTTCTGTCATGTGCACGGTGGATAATGTTATCTACATGATATTAAGTATCTCTTACCGAGATTCGCTCATAATACTCGTAATATTCGTGCATCAGCATTTTGTGAACGTTATTGACATGTGTCAACGTCGACTATGCATGCTTAAAATACAGTAACACACAGAAAGAACAGCCTATATGTCCGCAATATGCCCTAGTAGCCCTGCTTCGGTTTTTCTCAGATTTTCGTCACTGACTCACTCTCAATATTCTTTCTTATATAAACGTTCTTTTATTTTGGTCACCTGTTGTTAAAATTTCCTGACAATTGCAAAAATACCAGAAACGAATAGCTTTCATAGTGAAAACTTCGCTCTGAGTAATTTTGAAGCAGGAACTAAATTTCCATAAAAATCCAAAAAACAGGGACTGGACCAGATGCAATGTGAAGCCACCGCTCTTCCACGTTTACACATTTTAGCAATGTTAAATTCCAACATTTTTAATTTTTGTTCCAGTGACTACCGACCAGTAGACGAAGAACTGCAACAGCACGTGGTGCGATCAGCAGCTGCTCCTGTAGCGCACCACATGGGCGGTGGTGTTAGTGACCGGTGAGCAAAATATGCAACTCTGTAGGAGTACTTCTCAGTTATAGCAGTCAGCTGGTCTGCATTCTGTGCAGCGTCTTGTGCGCTAGTAAACCGTCGATCAAACCGACAACATTATGGCCAACTCTCGCCTACACTGGGCGACAGCACGCCACTTTCGGACCGGCAGTTCAAAGTTCATCCTGCCGTGTGGCAGTCAGCCGAACCTGTTACCTGGCGGCCACAGAACCCTGCCGTTTACCTTCGCACCATTACGCCACAGGTCATGCCGTCGCATTATTTTTAAAAATCGAACCACGGCTGCGCGTCTGTACTTGGCTTTGCAGTTTTCACCCAAGAACGAGTCTTTCGCATTAGATCTCATGACGCAGTTCCTACTGGGACGCTTCTGGTTCGGCATTAACGTCGGAAAGGAATCTTCCTTGAACGTTTCAGCCAACTCTTGTGACTTTGTAGCGCATTACACGCTGCGGAGTGCGGACAGCCATCACTCGAAAGGGACGAAATGGAAATTCGAAGACATTTCGCCACAGTGGATCTACGTCATGGCCTGCCCCAGCAACATGCGCCGCAGCCTCTCCTGGATGACTAATTCCCAAAATCGTCCGGATATTCGGGCTGAATCTTCCCTGGGAGAACGGGAGCGAGGAGAACGGGATGGACGATGATGCCATCCAGTGTTTTCCCCTGAAGATGGGCATTGACACGCTGGCTGCCCGCCCGGGGCGGCAGGCACAGCGTGTTAATGGTTACTGATTTCAGTCGGCGTCGGGCATCCCAGGCAAAATATCCTTTATGGCATCACCGAAAATATAGCGACGAAATACCGAAAAAAAGGTCAGATGTTACTTTTTTTTGCTGATTTATTTGCGAAACATGTTTAGCGTTCCTTAACATAAATCTAAGGATTTTTTTTCTGATTTAAGCTTATTTTTTGATTTTAAAAACAATTATTTTCATTACCGCCGATGTAGTCTTTTTAAAAATTAAGTTGGTTTCTCATTTTAGGAAAAGTTCTAATTTCGGTAACATTCGTTTTTTTCCTAATTTATGTCTGTTTTGGTTGTTGCTAGCTTTGTTTTTAAGTCATATTTATTTTGGTTATTTTTAAAAAAACTAGACGCAATAATGTAATTGCAAAATTAATACGTCCAGCTAGAGTGATATTTAATAACCACATGCAATTGAACTTAGAAAGCCTAAAATATAAAACTCAGCACAAGGAACGGGATGCTCAAATCGAAAACTGAAACGAAAGAATTAAATTTTAAAAAAAATCTAGATGGAAGAGAACTGACCGTTCGGCCTCCGAGGCGGTGGGCGCCGGGATGACGGGAACCTGGAATTCAGTGAGACTGCAATTGTACGGTGCAAAACTAAATCAGTATCGTAGATGGACGCATCCTTCAAATTGTAATTAAAGCCATAATAATCTAAAAGTTACGCTAAATTAATTGATTTAATTCAAATTTAATAAAAATTAATTTGAATAAATCGAATTAATTAAAATTTAATTTAATTTAGTTTAATTTAATTTATGTGTATTGATCTGCTGATTGATTTTATTTGGTACAGTTTAGATCTCACTGAATTGCAGGCGGCGCCGTCATCTGCCACATCCGTGTCCCGTTATCCGGGAAATCCTGCGCGGGAGGGTGCCGGCTGTGTGGCGGACGGCTCCGGTCAGCGCTGCACGCAGCCCGGTATCTGCCAGAACTCCAGGGCGTCCGGGCCGTCGTCCGCTCTTCCGCTGATCGTTAGGAGAGCGCCGGCGCGTGCCACTTCCGCTGTTCCGCCAGCTGCTCAACCAGATTGACCAGATGCCACGCAGCTGGTAGTGGTCGGTGTCCTGCGCCAAGATCATCCCTAAGAAAACAGCCACAACGCCAGCAGCAGCGTTTGCGCAGCAGCGCATCAGCGTACATATCCAGCGAGGCAGCGCATCGATCGTCTTCAGATGATCCCGCCTTTTCCGTCCAGTTAAGACCCACTACTGATAATCAATTTCCACTAATTGAATGCATTAATTTAATTTATTTTACAGAGTTCCCGGTTAAGTTCTTCTCATAATAATTGCTATGCGCCGGTCACTGTGACTGTGGTACTTACCTGATTAAATTAAATTCATTTAAATTTTAATTACGGCACTAAATTAATTTAAATTAATAGGTTGAATTTAAACAGCAACCACAGTGACCGATGCCTAACAGCTGCTGAAGCATAAGTGGAAATTAACTGGGAATTCGGCAAACTAAATTAAATTAATTTTATTTAATTAGAGAAAAGTCGAAACTCATTTTCAGTACAACTACATACAGACCAAGTACAGTACAACTGTACTTGGCTCAACCGGACGAAAAGGACAGGATAATCTGCAGACGATCGATGCGCTGCCGCGCTGGAATGTGCGCTGATCCGGTGCTGCGCAAACGCTGCTGCTGGCGTTGTGCCTGGTTCTGCCGGATCATCTTGGCGAAGAAACCTTCCAGCCCGCTGGCATCTGGTCCGAACAATCCGTAGCTCTCCCAGCGCAGCGCGGACGACCGATCATCTTGGACGCGATGCTGCGCTGTTTCTCGGTCTTGCTCCGCTCATCTAGCGCTGCTGCTGCTTCCTTCGGCACGAGTCGAAGGCGCGGCGATAAACGGCAAGGCCATATTATGGTGTCACGGCAGAGTTGGTTACAGAAGGAAATATATTTGAATTTTGGACTTTTTGAAAAAATTAGTTAGTGTCAGAATTATTGACTCGTCATCGTCCGGCGGCGTAGCGCGCTGAACGGTGGATGGTGGGCCGTCTGCAGCCTTTGCGGATGGGATGGCCGCCCAGGTGGCCGGCTCACTACGCCGCTGGACCTTTCTTCTCTGTGCCTGCAATTTCCACCAGCTGCACGTGCGTTGATTTTTGGTGAATTAACCGGTTTAACTGCAGCAGGCATATGCCTGTTGCGGGGTTAATAATTTAATTTAATTTCCTAAAACAACCTGAATTTTCTAGTTTTTCCCCATTAAGCTTTTATTTACTGCAGTGTGGTCTCTCTGCTGTAGTTTTAAAATATAATTGTTATCATCAGGGTATCGTTATTCTGCTGGCCGCCGCTGCGATGTCTGCGTGCTGGAAAAGAGGCACTATCTGCCTGTCACCGACGTGCCTCGGCTGGTTGATGCTTCTTCTTCTGCCGCAGCTTCATTTGTCCGCCGGATGTTCCCCTCAGCAGTTAGCGCCCGCCAACCGTGAGTACTGCGTAGTTATCTACCAGGAAAAATAGCTTTCCCCCTGGATTACGGCGAGCGGTGGGCTGGTTATTCTCTGCGGAACGCGTTCCCGGAAAACAGGCTCTCCGATTGCGCAACTGCGCCGGGTTTCAGGCTCACATCTGTGCCGTTGTTCTGCGCGCTGTGCGTCGTGTTAATTTGACTGTCCAATTCGAGATTTCCAATTTTTGAAAATTATTACGAGGCCGGTGTGTCGAAAATAAAAATAAGTTATTAGTTAAGACTGTCACGATTTTTCATTTTTCAATTAATTTCGATGTGATTTCACGGGAAAGGGGGTGCGTCGCTGGGCGTTGCGAGCGAAACCAGCTTCGTCTCTCTGAATTCTTTACTGGGACAAAAGCTGAATATTTTCTGTAATTCTGGACTGCGCGACGCATGAGAAATTTGACAGTGACCGCCCTGGGCGCCCCCTCTGACACCAGGGGGATAATTATAATGTTATGTAGCTCGTGCCACGAGCTACATAACATTATATATGTAACATTCGTGCCACGAGCTACATTACATAACATGACTTTTAGCTAGATTCTCAGACTGCAGTGAACAAATAGCAGCCCCCTCTGTCTTGCGGCTACTTGTACTGTTGTACACCTAACGCAGCCTCTTGGTTTAATGGTTGCTTCTTTGCCAGAAGGCCCAGAACTCGTATGCACGATTCTCGTCAGGATGGCGCCCTGTGGCGGTTGGGAGCCGTATGGCTAATTGTAAACTACGCCGGGAAGTCATCGTAGGCCCACAGAAACACGTGCTTATCCCGGCACTTTTTAAATAGCTCGCGTTCGGCAGCTATACTGCTGGTTAATTGCGCAGGTATAGGGAAGCAGAAAACCATCCTCTGCAAATGGGGCGATCAATGTGTAAATATTTACACTATCCTTAAATTAAGCGGTAGTCCTATGGCCACGGTATTACGTACAGTCTGTATGACAGCACACGAACAGACACAGAGCGAACGCGTAGTTCTCCTGCTGGCGCACCGTATTATCGCTGTCTGTAGAATCGTGAAGCTCTGGATAGCTGCGGTCACGGTGTCGAGGAGTACTCCTGCAAATACTGCAGTAAACCACTGATGCCGACACCGATCCGGTCCGCTCCTGACTTTCTGAATATGGTAGAAGGATGGCCGTATGTTGCGGCAGCGTTGCTAGGTACGTCCCTCAACACTGAGCCCAGTCCCTGTGGTAAGACAGAGAAACCCGCAACTTCTAACTCCGACTGCCGAAGTCGCAGAAGCCGCCAGACACCGTACAAATCGGCGTACCAAAAGCCTCGTTATGGGCCGATTTGCTTCGAATATTCCCCATAATATCCCCCTTTTCACAGCGCATCAGGATTTTGCATTTTTTTTTAAACTTTAAAATAAGTTGTGTGAATGAAATTTTAATAATATTTTTAGAAATGTACAAAATACGAGGTTTCTTACAATAACCACGCGTCAGGTTTCGGTGGGCCGGGTGGCTGAACAAAATAGCTGTCTCCGCTTTTGATTTGTTTCCCGCGAACCATCTGCCGCTACCGTAAACGTTTTAGTCCCGTTCCATAGAGGATTTTATCGACTAGTAAAAAACAACAAACTTTAGTTTGGGTAATTGAAACAGGCTCGTTACCAAGGAGGCCAAGTGAAATTGTGTAGAAATTTATCATGATCTCCCACAATTCAGCTCCCACTGAGCCAGCGCACTTTGATAAACCAGACGGGCATTTTGTTCAGCTACCCGCAACAGAGTACGACTGGTGGTGCGCAGCCGCTGCGCAAGGACTTGCCGAATGCCGATTGTGTTTTCTTTAAGCAACGTGCCCCGAATGGGATAAGCAGACGTAATACTCGTAAAATAAAGCTGACAGACCTGTTAATTGATAGTGAGCGACATGCTGGCGGATGCGTTGCTGAATAACCGACAGGACGACCGCATCATCCTGACCGGGCTGGTTCCGAGCGACATTCCACCGGACAGCGTGGTGTCCCGGCCGCGTCTGGGGGAGGACGCGACGTTTATCTGCAACGTTCCCGCGTCCGTCGACTGGCGCCACGTGGCCTGGCTGCACCAGGACTGGCCCGTCTACGAAGCGGAAGAGCCGCAAGCGCTGCGGGACGGCGACACCACGGGGCAGACCTACAACTTCTCCCGCGTTGACACCACCCTGATTCTCGTCGTCCGCAACGTCACCATGCGTTCCGGGGGCAACGTGCGCTGCGTCATCGAGCCGCAGGGCCCCGAGTACAATACGGAGCGCCGCGTCCTGCAGCGCTTCCTGCTCCTGCCGCTGATCACGCACCGCAGCGAGGTCTTCGCCGCGCCCGATCCGCTCGCTGTGACCGCCACCGAGGGCGAGGCCGTCGCGGTGCCGTTTAGCATCCGGCTGCCCGTACCGGAAGACGTCTTCTTCGGACTGCGCAACCATTTGCTCTGGGTCCACAATGGCCGCGTCGTGGAAGGTCCCTGGGAGGCTGCCTACCGGAGTTTGGTGCCCAGAACGAAAGGACCGCGTGACGTCGAGCCATACTACCTGGGAGGGTCCGTCAACAGCCCGGGCCAGCTGGAACACGTTAGACTCTACTTTCGGGCCGTCAGACTGGCCGATGAAGGATACGTCCAGTGCTGGTTCCGGCCGCATCAGTACCTCCATGAATGGGTCGTGCAGACGACGACGCTGCTGGTTTCTCCTAAGAACAGCACGCAGTAGAGTTTCATTGGGCAAGATCCGGAAGGGGATCATTCTGCTGTTACCCTCAATGATCTATAGAAATCTAACCAAAAACTAAACGCGATGCCCGCTTTCCTGGCGGAGATGACCTTTCTTGTATAATCGTCATGGGCTTTTTTGATTACATAATGGCAGAAATTAATTAAAATAATTCCCGCTTTATTATTCAGAAAAAGATCAATATTACGCGGCCTCCCCACAGTCTGGAGATCTCTCTATCCGAAAACTTTTAAAAAAATCTGATACCCCAGTGAGATCGGCCGTGGTCCAGAACTGCGTCACATGACTTTTGTTTTGAATACGTCTGATCAGAATCGTGCCGGCTCGATGCCTCAAACGATCCAACCCCGTTTTAGGTTTACCTTGAAATTTAAAAAAGTTTTGCCTGGATGCAATACGCAATACTCCTCTGTACAGTAATAGACACGCAAATTGAACGGAATAAATTGAACTTAATTTCGTACATCACCACAAAATTTAACAATCGCAAGTTAACCTATCGAATGTTGTTTTCGGCACATTTATAAAATAATGGTAGGTGTTAACCATACCGACAATGTGTCACACGTAAGTATAAGTTTATCGGGCTGTTCGATTTTGGTTGGACCGGTCTTCTAAACAATTGCTAAAAGCTAGGAGCTCCATTATTATGAGTGAGTTACCGAGTTACCACTATTGTCCATTAAGCAAATCGCTAATTGACTGAGTGAGTGTCCGATCTACCTCGACCGTCCACCGTCGAGCACATTCGCTGATTAAGTGAGTGAGTTAATGAGCTACTATTTACTGTCCAAAGAGCAAAAATCGCTAACTGAATGAGTGAGTGACTTAGGCGCCGCCACTTTTAACTTTTAAGTGATCCTCGCTACGTGGACGACTAACCGAGGCATTAGTTGATTCGGGCCGTGGATCACAAGAAACGCGGAGGCGAAGCCGCACCTGTTTCTCGTTGTATAATATTAAGTTATTAACCATAATTTAGCTGTTTTAGTTCAGTTTGTGTCATGATGTCGGTATCTTTTTTGACAACGAATTTTAAGAAAACGGAATAAGAAACTGTGCAGTTACAGTAATGAGACATGCCCAGCTTGCCAAGCGAATTGCGAACCAGGTTTTGACGTTGTAAGATGCATGCGACTAGTGCGTTCTGTGGAATAACACAGTACTGTATAGTATCGAAAAGAGGATCAACATTAAAAGCATTACTAGAGTCAGTAATGTCGCGAACAGCAAGCTAACCAGTGCCGAGGCTTTTAACCAACCTCGTGCAGAACCAGAAAAGAAAGAAGGATGCCGCGCCCTTTATCATGCAAAGGGTCAGTTTTGCTTGCATGTTTAAGCTTGCTGTTCGCGACATATTACTGGCTCTAGTAATGCTTTTAAGGCACACCAACGATTTGCTGACCGCTTTCTTGCTGACCGACAACTTGCTCACGACTTTTTGCTGACCTAAAAAATGTTTACCGGACAGTTTGTTGAACGACAACACGATGATCGACAAGTTTCTGAACGACAGTTTGCTGAACCCCGACAATTTGCTGACGACTATCTGCTAACTCACTAAAACATAAGAAAACACGAAAAAAATCTAAGAAATCTAAGAAAGTACCGTAAAAGAAAATGTAAGAAGACAACCAATATGAGAAGCACAAGAAAACAAACAAAAAACTTAAGAACCTACGGCAAGCTAAGCAAACGAACGAGAACACCTAAAAAGCTAAGAAACCTAGAGAAAAGACCGATAAGCAAGCTGTCTGTCAACAAAATAGTTTCACAATAATTATGATGTCCATATCGCCGGGCAGACAATTTGTCGAACAGTTGTTTGTCGGTCAGTTATCTGTCGGTCAGCAAATATCGACCGCACCTTTCTGAACGTTGGAGCTGCTGCCGAGCTGGCGGAAGGGGCCAGACTGAGCAAACACGCCTGGCTTTTACCAAGATACAACCTCAACAGCGGCAGCGTTTGAAATTTACGGACCATGGGGGGACGGAGCGAAAATGCTCGTTGACAAGGTTGGAAACGGGATAGCAACCGCCACAGGCCAGAAGTGGGCGAAAGAGTTTCTTAAGCAGCGGCTGTCTGTTCCAATTAAACGCTGAAATGCTATATGTGCGATGGGTACAATCCCCGATCAGGATAGCATTCAGGAAGTGTTATTCTTATGAATTTGTGTTGTTTTGAGTACTTAGTTACAAGGGGCATACCCGACCACCTGGCACTCAGATCAGTTCATGCTAGGTATCATTAGAATTCTCAGAAATTCTATAATATAATTTTCTTTAAAAGTTAACTTTTCCCCAAGTAAGAAAGGGGATTTTAGATACCTCAGAGAAAACAACGCGGATATGATGGCTGACTTCGATCATAACGTCAGCAGACGCTGTTCAGCCAGCAAGACGCCATACGGCGTCAGTACACTGTACACGGATGCGTGCTTACGCAACCGGCTTTAATCAAGAATTCAAAAGTGTGGGACGCGACATGCTGGGATACGGTGGCAGTATCCCACGTGTATGCCAGCTCGAAGAAAGCGGGAAGTATAGCACAACTGGCTGAAGCAAGCAAGCGTCGGACATACGATTTTATCGAAGGTCTGGGCTACCTGTTTTACCCACTGGCAGTCGAAACGTTCGGGACTTTCGGAACTCCTTTTGCCGAGCTGATCCGTTTCGTCGGCAGAAAGATCCGTGAAGTTACCGGGGAGCCTCGGTCTACCGCCTTTTTAAGACAACGATTCAGTTTAGCTGTAGTCCGGGGAAATGCAGCAGCTGTTTTTGGTATACTGCCTGCAAGTCCGAAGGCCATGAGTGGCTCTAACGATTTTGGACGGAAACAGTAACAAAGCATTGCAAAAAAATAATATTACTGGCATAATATATCGCAGTAAAGAAATTCGGAACGGGGTCACATATGATTTGAGTACCGAGAGCAACATGTTTAAATTTTCTACCGGTGGACGGACCGTTTGCCGCGCTTTTACGCTGGATTTCTACGCTGACACGCTGGCGTAAGTATTCGGTCACTCGTGCCTATCTGATTTCTCATCGTAGGTTAATACTGAATTTCCGTTATTAGACGACTATCTTCCGATCCAATAGGTCGAAGAATTTTGCAGCTGAGAGAGCGGTCCTCGGCAATATTTCAGTATCTAGTCACTATCTACTACTTATAGTTCTCTTGCCTTGCTCGGTCTGTGCCACCACTGCTGCGTACGCGCCTTGCATGTAAAGTTGTAAACTGCGGTTGCTGATCTACAGTACTCTTACTATTAACTGTTGACGCTACCGACATAGTCGTCAACTGATTTCGTGGGAAATTAGTCATACTTGTACTGTAAGATACGAATTCGTAATTTACTTCTGATGATGATTCATGAATTACTGTGGCAAGCGAACCGTCACTTTGTAGACTGCAGTTTAACTAAATAAGGATTCCATACCCGAGTAGTTTCTTCTACGTTTAAATTGTACCTGCACTGTACAATGCAAGTACTGTGTCCGCGTTTACACTTTATGGTACATGTGGCTTGTATGGCGGCTGTCGCCTAATAAAACTAACTACTAAGGATTTGGGATCAGCCAAAGGCCCAAATATGTATGAGCCGTATAATTAGCACCGCATGTTTTCCTGGTAGCAGTAGGCCTGCTGCCGGCGATTATCGATTAAACATACGTCGCTATTCAGAACGAATAATGATTCTTATCGTACACAACAGTCATCATTTACAATTTACAAAAAAAACAGCTTCGCCTCCGCCTTTGCATTTCGTGTGGTTTACAGCTGGTTCCGATTATTTATTAGCTTGGCATTAATGTGTATTTTACGTTAAGCGTAATCTGGTAAAGCGCTAAGGCGTAAGTCTTATTTTTATTAGGAAACCCTAATCATCTTCTAGTACGCGGACGCATTTCATTTGCCTCTACACATGCCTTTATTAAGTTGTCGAAGCAAAAATAACCCGAAATCATACTGTCTGTCAGGTATCAAATTTCGCAGTTCACAGTACGCATGCACTGGATAGTATCCAGTGGATACTGGTGGTAATTCGGTCACTTACCCAGCGAGCTCTGTTCACTGGACAGCAGTAGTAATTTGGTCGCTCCGTAATCTAACGGGCTCTGCTCACTGAGCAAGTGCTGTCCTGTAACCAGGGCCCAGTAGGCACTAGGCAGTAGGCGAGTGATGGCCGAATTACCACTACTGTCCAGTGGGTAGTTTGGTCACTTACTTACCCAGCGGGCTCTGCGCTCTAAGCAGTAGGGGTGGACGTTTGCTGGCTTTCTGACATAGCGGCTCAGTTCTTATGTGGCTGTCCTTTGCACTGGACAGCTGCAACGGCCGTTTTGTCATTTTGCCGCTGTTGGATTGCTGCACTTGACAAAGATGGTGGTACTTTGGTTACTGAGCCACTAGGGCAAGTTTGAATTCTCGCTTTTTTATTCGGATGCAATTTAAAATCCATTCGTCAACACTTTTGTTCACTTGACACTGGTACTGTACAGCACAGGACGTCTGTTTACTGGTCGTTGTAATTGTTAGCATTTTGTTTGCTAGATGTTTATTTTTCTGCATAAAATACTTTTTCTTCTTCAAAGTATCCAGGCCTGCACTGAACACTTATTGTCAAGTAGCAGAACCGCCTATTCCTGGGGAATGAAACCGTCACCACTATCCAGTCGTCAGAGCTATCGATTACATGAAATTCATCGCGTGTGACACCGTATACAGGTCGAAGTCAAATAATTTCATATAATCATTATAAATCTTGCAGTGTTATCAGTATTGTTCGACATTTTGCGATTTTTCATGCAAAACGACGAGACTTCGATGTTCTGTGCCCAGTATTCCCTTATCGTCGAGAAATATATTAATTGGCCAATGAGCAATAACTGCAACTTATGTTATAAAAAGTGAACTTTAGTTATTAAACGTTATGCACTAATTTGTAAGCTTGCGTTTAGACCGTTCGATAACATTCGAAAACACCATGTCAAGGCGAAACTTTTTCTAGTACACATACATTATTATACCTACCATTGAGCTAACACTTTAATGTCCACAGAGTAGACATTTCCGAGCAAAGGTTTTCTTTTAATGTGACCTTGAAGCACGGTTGAATCGGTTACGGCATCATGCCGGTGCGATTTTGGTAGGGCGAATCCGAAAACAAAAATCTTTTAAGCTAGTTCTGGACCACGGTTGGTGCAAGTTTCGTTAGCGACGCGTTGGTTAGCGAAATCTCGAAACTATGAGGAGGCCGCGCTGACTATGATCTTTTTCTTAATAGTGCCGAAGCTCGATCAATAGAAACGGCGCGATTC